AAATATCAAGTACAATACTTAAGTTAATGTACTTAGTTACATTCCACCACCGCTAAAAGAAGATCACACAATAGTTTACAAGAGCACAAAGTTCTTCATAGAACTAGCCTCTTGTTTTTGGTCTCAAAACACACCAGATTGATGAATTTAACTTTAAAATGTACAACATGTTCTTCCAGGTGAGCGCGCCCCGGACCCCTCTAGAAAACCAACATTAACTAGAAAATAAAAACTCAATTAGTCTACCGGATCAAACTAAAGACAGTACTCAGCTCCCTGCCAACGTGAGGAGGCGTCACCTTAAACAAAGCATGGATCTCTAGAGCGATCAAGGTTTATTGTGTCACTACTCGTAAGCGGGGGCTGATTGTGTGTGAGGACAGGGTTTTGAGGGAAACAATTCAAAATCTGAACATGGAATCAATAAGTAATGCTCTCAAATTAAAACAACATGACTTTGAATAAAGATAGGGGAAAAGCACCAGAGTTCTTCCCCTGAGTTATGTGCCATGTGGTGTGTCAGATTCACCTTTTGTGTACAAACAGAACCTTTACAGCCGGTTGTCTCTTGTATGAGCTTTCATGTGTAACTTCAGAGCTGACTTGTACTGAAATCTATTATCACACAGAGAGCAGCTGAAAGGTTTCTCTCCTGTGTGACATCTCATGTGTGTCTTCAGACCTCGACTGTCAGTGAAACCTCTATCACATTCTGAGCAGCTGTAAGGTTTCTCTCCTGTGTGGAGTCTCACGTGTCTCTGTAAAGTTTCCCTCCGTCCAAAAGATTTCTTACAAAGGGAGCAGCTGAAAAGTTTTTCCCCTGTGTGACACCTCATGTGTCTCTGTAAATGTCCACTACGTGAAAAAGATGTATTACATTCTGAGCAGCTGAAAGGTTTATCTCCTGTGTGAGTTACCATGTGTCTCTTTATAGTTTGCCTCCGTCCAAAAGATTTCTTACAGACTGAGCAGTTGAAAGGTTTCTCACCAGCACTACATCTTGAATCACTGACAGGAACTTCATCATTATTCACAGAGTTCAAACCTGACTGAGGTTCTCTGGTCTCCTTCCAATCACCACTGTCATCAGTGTCAGAAGAGTCTCCAGTCTTCACATTAGTATCTGGTTCTGGATGTCTATCTGGATCTGAGTTCCTGTCTGGTTCTGGTCCTCCACAGTCCTCTCCATCAGCTTCTGTTTCCATCTGTTCAGTTTGTCTTTGATGAAGTCGTGAGGACTGAGCTTCCTCTTCATCATCTTCATTCTTCACAGGAGTGAATGTGAACTTGGTGATATCAGCCTCCTCCAGACCTTGAAGCTGCTCTCCCTCCTGACCGGTCCAGAGTTCCTCCTGTTCCTCTTTAATGTGTGGGGGCTCTGGGTCCTCCTGT